AAAGAAACCTCGGGCAGCTGTGGAAGCGGCAGTACAAAGGTTCAATATAGCCTTCCTACGAGATACTAACAAACTCAACCAATTCAAGATAACTCTCAACAACAGGTTCTAAGTCTTACAGGATCTACTAAAAGAAGAAACTACGATGGAGGACCACTGGGAAGGGACTGAACAATCATTAACGTCAACGTACCGGGAGGTGCTGGGCCGCAAGAAGCATCATTATAAGGAATAGACCTCTATAGAAACCCTGGACAAGATTCAAGAAAGGAAGAACAAGACAGCAATTAATAACAGACGATCGAGAGCAGAGAAAATCAGGACACAAACTGAATACACGGAAGGAAACAAGCAAGTAAAGAAGAGCATTAGAGCTGAAAAGCAGAAATACGTGGAAGAGCTAGCAATGGCAGTGGAAAAATCTGCAAGCGAAGGAAATATGAAACAACTGTGTGACACAATGAAAAAAACTAGCAGGGAAATGCAGTAAACCAGAGAGACCGGTCAATGACAAACAAGGCAAGAAAATCACCGAGATCCAAGAACAGAGGAACAGATGGCTAGAATAATTTGAGAACTCTTGGATAGACCAGCTCTATTGAATCCATTGGATATCGAGGCAGTATCTACAGACCTTCTTATAGATGTCACTCCACCAACGACCGAAGAAACCAGGATGGTCATCAGACAAATCCAGAGCGGGAAAGCAGGAAAACCTGACAACCAACCAGATATAGAAGCGAGTGCAAACATGCTGCACGTTCTATTCAGGAAGATTTGCGATGAAGAACAAGTGCTGTTGGACTGGAAAGAAAAACATCTCATCAAGATACTAAAGGAAGGAGATTTGAAGAAATGTGAGAACTATAGAGGCATAACACTGCTGTCAGTACCAGAAAACGCTCTCAACAGAGTGTTGCTGAACCAGATGACAAACTTAGTAGACACCCAACTTCAAGTTCAGCAGGCTGGATTCCGTAAGGGTCGGTCATGCACAGACCAAATCACGACACTAAGGATCATCGTTGAACAATCAGTTGAGTGGAACTCATCACTATACATCAACTTCACTGATATGCGGAAGCATTTGACAGTGTGGAAACTTCTTTGACACTATGGAGTACCTAAGATGATCGTCAAGATCATCCGGAATTCATACGACGTGCTACACTGCAGAGTGGTTCGTGGAGGACTGTTGACAGATGCATTCCATGTAAGGACCGGAGTCAGACAAGGCTGCCTACTCAACCATTTCCTCTTTCTTCTGGTGGTCGACTGGATCAGGAATATCTAGACACCTGAGGGAAAAAATAAAATACAATGGACATCTCGGAATCAGTTAGAAGATTTGGACTTCGCAGATGACCTGGCCCTTCTATCCCATACACACGAACAAATGAAGACAACTGGCGTAGCAGCAGCATCTGCATCATTGGGTCTTAACATACACAAAAGAAAAAAATTCTCAAATACAACACGGAGAACACCAACCCAAGCACACTTGATGGAGAAGCTGTAGAAGATGTGGAATCTTTCACGTACCTGGGAAGCATCATCGATGAACAAAGGATCGGATGCAGACGTAAAGGCAAATATTGGCAATGAAAGTACCGCATTCCTACAATTGAAAAACATATGGAGCTCAAAACAATTGTCATCCAATATCAAAATCAGGATCTTCAATACGAACGTCCAGACAATCCTGTTGTACGGAGCTGGAACTTGGAGAACCACTACAACCATCAATAAGAATGTACAAGTATTTATAAATAGTTGTCTACGTAAGATACTCAATATCCGCTGGCCGGACATTATTAGGGAAAAGAGGAAGACCGAAGAACATACTGTGTCGGAAATCGGAAGCAGAAATGAAAAGGATTGCCCAGGACAGGGTTGGATGGAGAATGCTGGTGGGCAGCCTATGTTATTACACAAGGAGTAACAAGCGTAAGTAAATACTGTTGGCTGGAATAAAACTATCCACTAGAATATTAAATAAGGTGGATAACGTTGTTTTGATTGGAGCTATGAGAGTAGAGTTTATTCTTTAGTAAATCCACCAATGCACTTGGTATCAAATCCTTAATAGAGATGAACCTGCCCTTTTAACTTTACTGTTAGACAAAACTGAATGGGATTTTATATTTTACATTCGTTGTGTATAACTGGACAAGGATATAGGGCAAATAAAAAGGAACAAATTTTGGTTGGAAATGAAAAATTAGTATTTGGCTTAAAATGTTCCATTTTTACGAAAAGTTGCACAAAATTTGAAGTCAATTTCTTATCGGTCGCTAAAGATCAGACTGGATCCAAACGAGATAATTATGCTTTCTAAAACGTAAGATCTTTAATCTTTCCAGTATTATCAATCCAACCGATGTATGAACCTATCCAGTGATAAAGTTGTCAAATAGCTCAGTTTATTGAACTAAGATTAATTTGTATTGTCCAACCTCACTTATCTTCCAAGTGAACAATTAACAGATCCTTCTAATCCATATTAGTTTACTTTATAATATATTTCTCAGTTATAGTGGCCTGGAGAATTAAAACTTGTCAAACTTCTGCGTACAAATAAAATGTATCGTTGAGCTTGTCTAAAAGAATATTGTGTGGTTGAACGTTAAATAATTGTTAAGAAAATAACGCACAAGAATTACGATACTACATTAAACAAATTCTGATTGCCAATGGTAATCGATAATAATCTTGAAATATCGGAAATTAATTCAAGTTACGAATGTGAACGATTGCATGCCAACCCAGTGGTTAGAAGTTATGCTTTCCTCACTTTAGGTCCAATCCTTGGAAAGGTAATGAATGACACTACCTAATAGTTTTATATAAGTTTAGACAATTGTTCTACGCTTAGTGGTTTTCAGTGATTGTATAACCAAATTAATAAAAGTTTAAATTCAAATCATAATGACGAGCACCTTGATATGCCATTTCTTGATCTTATTTAGTTGTAATTTTCTCAGTGGTGTGGAATAAATCCCCACCGTTTTTCCACTCTACGACAATTAACTGTTGAATCTCATAAGTTTTACAGTGGTCTTGAGCGCTGTTAAAGGTATGAGGGCGGTTATCACTTCCCGGTTGCCCTCACCGTGGAAAAGTTCTTCTGGAGGTACCTGGATTCTTTCTTCCTGTACTATATACTTATATGCAATCTTTCTTTTATATATTACCACCTCTGAATTAACTACTTTTATGAATCCGGTGTTCATCTTGCTGTGCTAATGCGGTATGGTAACTTGGATCGATGCATATATAAGCCTGGTCCTACGTTGTAGCTGACTGATAAGTTCTACAGTATATGCTTAAACTGAATAATATCTCGAAAAGTATCACAAAAGGTACTATAGTTTACAGACATGATCGAGTTGATAAAATAAGGGACGTAACATATAGAATAAATATAAATACAAATTATTCAAAGATGTGTTTCATAAATTGCTTCGATAAAAAGTTGATCACGGAGACTTCAATAATCCCAAACAGTAGTTGGTAGCAAGTGTTTACTTAGCAGGAGTACTAGGATGTTATGCTGAATTACTAAGACGGCGGTAAGAGGTCGCTACAGGTATCTTAAAGTAGAGAAAATAAAGAAAACTGAAAACACTAGAAAACTACTGTGATAGGTCTACTGTCACATATATGCTTTATCACTTTGTGAGGTTATTGAAGACATTTTATTTAAATCAATCAAATACTGAATAAGAAAAATGAATGCAACATCGAGAGCAAAAATAGCGTAAAGTTAAAAATATTAACACAAAAGGATTTTCAGTAAGCAAACTAAGTTATGAAAGTATTCAAAAATTAAATGTCACTGTTATTATACTATGAATACGGTATATGTACAAAGGTAGTGCCCGGAGGGTTAGTCATTAATGCAGCGTAGAAACGAGAGCATTGGTTATGTTCCACGAACAGATATGGCAAAATATACCGGGGTCAGGAAAGTTAACTCATACTAAGGGCAGATTTAAAATGTGAGTTCACTTTGTGACCTTGAAACATTCATCTCTCATATTCGTTATCATAACGCATTTACTAGTGACTAGCTTCAATATGTAATTTCTGAGCCTCTAATGTGAAGCCGTGACTGATGGAGTTTCGGCTGCATCGAGTGTGAGGAAAGTACCAACTGATGATAAATCAAGATAGTGTGTAATATCACAGACTGGTAGGAGCTAAACATGTACACCATTGAGTTAGTGGTTTAGAGGTTAGGTATTCGTGCAGGAGAGCGAAGATCCTGAATTTAGTACCAGGTGGCAAGGTCTTGGATATTACTGCTCAAGAGTCCTGTACTAGGACGAATCAACTGTCCAGTGCTACCAAGTTTCCAATGGTTACCCAAGTTAGATGGATCCGTGATCTCAAAAGAATTCAAGTTTTCACAACCGAAAAATTGGTTACGAGAAATTTTAGAAATTGTGTCATCCAGGATAGTCTACTTGTTTTAAGCGAGTATGTTTATGGATTTGTTTGTCAACTGTATGGAATTTCATAGTTGAATGAACTTTCCGGACGATTTGGGACTGCTTTATATCGGTGATTTTCTTAATAACAAACCGTAGACACTACCTAATGACTCAGTGTAAGAGTTCTACGAGATCGGCTCATTTCTATTAATGAAGTGATTTTGGATGTAAAATAAGTATTTTGTTATGAACGGGGAATTAAGAAGCCCAGACAATTACGAAAGCTATTTTCTTGGGACGTTATTGCATTTCATTCAAAACCTGTAAAACACTTATATTTATTTTTGTCCCTATCTTATTCTACATAACACGAGCTTTCGTTCTATGTATCATTCACTAGCATACCCTTTTTTGTTCCAAAAATATTGTAATTTAAACATTATATTTTGCACTATATTTTCTACCCTAATTCCCTGTTTCGGGCATAACTGTATTTTTCCAAATTATCCTACGTCGTGGTCAAGATATGCACTTATTTATTCATGTACATTTTTGTAGTAATCCGAATTCAGAGAATCCAGAGTTTAGTGTTCCAACTGTCTTGTCTTCTTTCACGTGTGTGCTTGCCAACCAATCAGGATTTAGAATAGTTCTCTCTACCCCATCTCGAACTCACGCATATTAGACTCAAGGTTAAGCCACTCAGCCTAACGCGTCAAGGTCATAATTTAGACTACACCGACCAAGGTCAAGTCATAACAAGTATCACGGGGTAAAAGCGATTCAAGGTCATAACAACTGGCGACGGAGAATTTTTTTTTCTTTCCTATATTGATTGATCCAGTACAAAATGCCTGTTTCATTGGATGACCTTAAAACTATTCTTCAAATGCAGCAAGCACAAAATGAGGCAAATCAGACGAAGCTTTTGGATGCATTCGCACGAATGTTCTCATTACAGTCGTCCTCAGCTTGTCAATCAGATAAGCATGAAAGCATCATAAATTCTATTTCTGAATTCCAGTATGATCCTGAAGCTAATATCATTTTCAGTTCGTGGTTTCACCGTTGTGAAGATATTTTCCGCGTTGAATGCTCGCATCTTGATGACGCAGCGAAAGTCCGCTTACTCTTAAGAAGACTGGGAACACAGGAATATAATAAATATGTGAATTTTATCTTGCCGCAAAATCCACGAGATGTATCATTCAAAGATACAGTCCAGATTTTATCTGATATTTTCGATGAACAGTCCTCATTATTTAATACTCGCTATAAATGCTTCCAAATAACGAAATCTCCAGAGGACGATTATCTCACGTATGCCGGGAAGGTAAATCGACAGTGCGAACGCTTCAAAATAAACGAAATCACAGCGGACCAATTTAAATGCTTGATTTTCATATGTGGTCTAAAGAATGAAGAAGATGCAGATGTCCGTACCAGAATGTTGGCACGCATTGAACAAGAACCAAATATGACATTACAAATGGTTACAACCGAATGTCAGCGGTTACTTAATCTCAAGCATGACACTGCGATGGTGCAACAGAAGGTTAAACCTTCCGGTTCTGATTCAATTAATGCGCTCCGATCCATAAAATCATCGAAACAAAACTGTACAAGCAGGAAACAACCTGCCAACCCCCCATCACCATGCTGGTTCTGCGGAGCATGGCATTTTGCAAAATTCTGTCCGTTTAAGAATCATAAATGCCGCAAATGTCATCGCATTGGCCACAAAGAAGGTCATTGTTCGTTAAATAAACGCAAGACTAAACATCGTAGTGAAAATTCAAAGCAACGATCAGACAGTCAAATTAAAACCACGTTTGCAACCTTTAAAGTTGGATTTAAAAGTAGGCGGAAATTCGTAAATTTATTAGTAAATGAAAAACTTATACGACTTCAGTTGGACACTGCTTCTGATGTCACGTTGATTTCAAAGAACACATGGCACAAGTTAGGATGCCCATCCATCCGACCGACGGAACATGTCGCCCGAAATGCGTCAGGAGACATAGTAAAGTTGACAGGAGAGGTCCTATGCAATGTTCAACTTATGGGAAGCAAATTTACAGATGTTTGTTATCTAACAAATCGACACGATTTAGATCTATTGGGATTAGATTGGATTGCACATGTTGATACTTTGAATAAATTATTAGATGAGGTATGTTCTCAAAATGTTTCCTATGATTCTATCCAAATCCCTAATGATATTTCTAAATCAAATGCCTCCGACGAATCATCCTCTCTGGATATTAACGAATTAAATGCTTCTGATGAAACATGTTCTTATGATCTTTCTGAATCAAACAATTCAAATGTTATGTGTTCTCACCATGTCAAATCAAATACCGCCGATTCATTGCCTTCTCATAAAATTTCCAAATCGAATACTTCAGACAAAGTATGCGCTAGTGAAACTTCGGAGTCTCATGTACTTCTTTCTAAGTGTCCACGAAAAGCTGAACTACAATCTTGGCCATCTCCAGAAGAACCTTGGTCGCGTATACATGTTGATTTTGCTGGCCCATTCCAGGGTACGTACTTCCTCGTTTGTGTTGATGCTTATTCAAAATGGCCGGAGATTTTTCCTATAAATCAAATCACTTCGCAACAGACTATCATGAAGCTACGGCAGTTATTCTCCCGTTTTGGAGTTCCAGATGTTCTCGTGACAGATAACGGCACTCAGTTTATTTCTTCCATCTTCTCAGATTTCTGCAAGAGGTTTGGAGTCAAACATGTCCGTTCACCTCCGTACCATCCACAATCGAATGGTCAGGCCGAAAGGTTTGTAGATACCTTCAAAAGAGCGCTACTGAAGGCAAAAGGGGAGGGAAAGATAGAGGAGATTCTTGATGACTTTCTCTTGGTCTACAGAACAACTCCAAACCCATCAACACCAAATCAAATGTCCCCAGCAGAAATTATGTTTGGTAGAAAAGTAAGAACTGCCCTCGATGCCATGAAACCACAGCAAAGAGACATCGGAAAAAGAAACAGAAAGATGGAAAACCAATTTGATCGCCATCATGGGGCGAAACGCAGAATTTTCCAGAAAAATCAAAAAGTATACGTCCGCGATTTCCGATATTCACCTCCACAATGGACCAGTGGACGCATACTTAAGAGACAAGGGAACGTAATGTATGTGGTGGAAGTTGAAGGACAGAAGTGGACACGCCATGTCAACCACATACTGGAAAATGCTGGCACTTCACAGAAAACCGAGAAATTAGACTCAATGTGGAGAATCATTCTGGACAGTTTTGACATAAAATGCTCAGCGACTCAGAAGACCACGCAACCTGAACAAAGTCCTATTAGGAAAGCATCACGGAAACGCAGAAGACCAGATATTCTACAGGTAGACCCAAAGAGGAGAACATACGTTTCCGAAGGAAGATATCAATGATGATATCTCAGCACTTACCTGTATATAGTAACTAACCATATTTTTTTTTCTTTTTTTTTTAAAGGGGGAAGGTGTTATGAACGGGGAATTAAGAAGCCCAGACAATTACGAAAGCTATTTTCTTGGGACGTTATTGCATTTCATTCAAAACCTGTAAAACACTTATATTTATTTTTGTCCCTATCTTATTCTACATAACACGAGCTTTCGTTCTATGTATCATTCACTAGCATACCCTTTTTTGTTCCAAAAATATTGTAATTTAAACATTATATTTTGCACTATATTTTCTACCCTAATTCCCTGTTTCGGGCATAACTGTATTTTTCCAAATTATCCTACGTCGTGGTCAAGATATGCACTTATTTATTCATGTACATTTTTGTAGTAATCCGAATTCAGAGAATCCAGAGTTTAGTGTTCCAACTGTCTTGTCTTCTTTCACTTGTGTGCTTGCCAACCAATCAGGATTTAGAATAGTTCTCTCTACCCCATCTCGAACTCACGCATATTAGACTCAAGGTTAAGCCACTCAGCCTAACGCGTCAAGGTCATAATTTAGACTACACCGACCAAGGTCAAGTCATAACAAGTATCACGGGGTAAAAGCGATTCAAGGTCATAACAACTGGCGACGGAGAATTTTTTTTTCTTTCCTATATTGATTGATCCAGTACAAAATGCCTGTTTCATTGGATGACCTTAAAACTATTCTTCAAATGCAGCAAGCACAAAATGAGGCAAATCAGACGAAGCTTTTGGATGCATTCGCACGAATGTTCTCATTACAGTCGTCCTCAGCTTGTCAATCAGATAAGCATGAAAGCATCATAAATTCTATTTCTGAATTCCAGTATGATCCTGAAGCTAATATCATTTTCAGTTCGTGGTTTCACCGTTGTGAAGATATTTTCCGCGTTGAATGCTCGCATCTTGATGACGCAGCGAAAGTCCGCTTACTCTTAAGAAGACTGGGAACACAGGAATATAATAAATATGTGAATTTTATCTTGCCGCAAAATCCACGAGATGTATCATTCAAAGATACAGTCCAGATTTTATCTGATATTTTCGATGAACAGTCCTCATTATTTAATACTCGCTATAAATGCTTCCAAATAACGAAATCTCCAGAGGACGATTATCTCACGTATGCCGGGAAGGTAAATCGACAGTGCGAACGCTTCAAAATAAACGAAATCACAGCGGACCAATTTAAATGCTTGATTTTCATATGTGGTCTAAAGAATGAAGAAGATGCAGATGTCCGTACCAGAATGTTGGCACGCATTGAACAAGAACCAAATATGACATTACAAATGGTTACAACCGAATGTCAGCGGTTACTTAATCTCAAGCATGACACTGCGATGGTGCAACAGAAGGTTAAACCTTCCGGTTCTGATTCAATTAATGCGCTCCGATCCATAAAATCATCGAAACAAAACTGTACAAGCAGGAAACAACCTGCCAACCCCCCATCACCATGCTGGTTCTGCGGAGCATGGCATTTTGCAAAATTCTGTCCGTTTAAGAATCATAAATGCCGCAAATGTCATCGCATTGGCCACAAAGAAGGTCATTGTTCGTTAAATAAACGCAAGACTAAACATCGTAGTGAAAATTCAAAGCAACGATCAGACAGTCAAATTAAAACCACGTTTGCAACCTTTAAAGTTGGATTTAAAAGTAGGCGGAAATTCGTAAATTTATTAGTAAATGAAAAACTTATACGACTTCAGTTGGACACTGCTTCTGATGTCACGTTGATTTCAAAGAACACATGGCACAAGTTAGGATGCCCATCCATCCGACCGACGGAACATGTCGCCCGAAATGCGTCAGGAGACATAGTAAAGTTGACAGGAGAGGTCCTATGCAATGTTCAACTTATGGGAAGCAAATTTACAGATGTTTGTTATCTAACAAATCGACACGATTTAGATCTATTGGGATTAGATTGGATTGCACATGTTGATACTTTGAATAAATTATTAGATGAGGTATGTTCTCAAAATGTTTCCTATGATTCTATCCAAATCCCTAATGATATTTCTAAATCAAATGCCTCCGACGAATCATCCTCTCTGGATATTAACGAATTAAATGCTTCTGATGAAACATGTTCTTATGATCTTTCTGAATCAAACAATTCAAATGTTATGTGTTCTCACCATGTCAAATCAAATACCGCCGATTCATTGCCTTCTCATAAAATTTCCAAATCGAATACTTCAGACAAAGTATGCGCTAGTGAAACTTCGGAGTCTCATGTACTTCTTTCAAAGTGTCCACGAAAAGCTGAACTACAATCTTGGCCATCTCCAGAAGAACCTTGGTCGCGTATACATGTTGATTTTGCTGGCCCATTCCAGGGTACGTACTTCCTCGTTTGTGTTGATGCTTATTCAAAATGGCCGGAGATTTTTCCTATAAATCAAATCACTTCGCAACAGACTATCATGAAGCTACGGCAGTTATTCTCCCGTTTTGGAGTTCCAGATGTTCTCGTGACAGATAACGGCACTCAGTTTATTTCTTCCATCTTCTCAGATTTCTGCAAGAGGTTTGGAGTCAAACATGTCCGTTCACCTCCGTACCATCCACAATCGAATGGTCAGGCCGAAAGGTTTGTAGATACCTTCAAAAGAGCGCTACTGAAGGCAAAAGGGGAGGGAAAGATAGAGGAGATTCTTGATGACTTTCTCTTGGTCTACAGAACAACTCCAAACCCATCAACACCAAATCAAATGTCCCCAGCAGAAATTATGTTTGGTAGAAAAGTAAGAACTGCCCTCGATGCCATGAAACCACAGCAAAGAGACATCGGAAAAAGAAACAGAAAGATGGAAAACCAATTTGATCGCCATCATGGGGCGAAACGCAGAATTTTCCAGAAAAATCAAAAAGTATACGTCCGCGATTTCCGATATTCACCTCCACAATGGACCAGTGGACGCATACTTAAGAGACAAGGGAACGTAATGTATGTGGTGGAAGTTGAAGGACAGAAGTGGACACGCCATGTCAACCACATACTGGAAAATGCTGGCACTTCACAGAAAACCGAGAAATTAGACTCAATGTGGAGAATCATTCTGGACAGTTTTGACATAAAATGCTCAGCGACTCAGAAGACCACGCAACCTGAACAAAGTCCTATTAGGAAAGCATCACGGAAACGCAGAAGACCAGATATTCTACAGGTAGACCCAAAGAGGAGAACATACGTTTCCGAAGGAAGATATCAATGATGATATCTCAGCACTTACCTGTATATAGTAACTAACCATATTTTTTTTCTTTTTTTTAAAGGGGGAAGGTGTTATGAACGGGGAATTAAGAAGCCCAGACAATTACGAAAGCTATTTTCTTGGGACGTTATTGCATTTCATTCAAAACCTGTAAAACACTTATATTTATTTTTGTCCCTATCTTATTCTACATAACACGAGCTTTCGTTCTATGTATCATTCACTAGCATACCCTTTTTTGTTCCAAAAATATTGTAATTTAAACATTATATTTTGCACTATATTTTCTACCCTAATTCCCTGTTTCGGGCATAACTGTATTTTTCCAAATTATCCTACGTCGTGGTCAAGATATGCACTTATTTATTCATGTACATTTTTGTAGTAATCCGAATTCAGAGAATCCAGAGTTTAGTGTTCCAACTGTCTTGTCTTCTTTCACGTGTGTGCTTGCCAACCAATCAGGATTTAGAATAGTTCTCTCTACCCCATCTCGAACTCACGCATATTAGACTCAAGGTTAAGCCACTCAGCCTAACGCGTCAAGGTCATAATTTAGACTACACCGACCAAGGTCAAGTCATAACAAGTATCACGGGGTAAAAGCGATTCAAGGTCATAACAACTGGCGACGGAGAATTTTTTTTTCTTTCCTATATTGATTGATCCAGTACAAAATGCCTGTTTCATTGGATGACCTTAAAACTATTCTTCAAATGCAGCAAGCACAAAATGAGGCAAATCAGACGAAGCTTTTGGATGCATTCGCACGAATGTTCTCATTACAGTCGTCCTCAGCTTGTCAATCAGATAAGCATGAAAGCATCATAAATTCTATTTCTGAATTCCAGTATGATCCTGAAGCTAATATCATTTTCAGTTCGTGGTTTCACCGTTGTGAAGATATTTTCCGCGTTGAATGCTCGCATCTTGATGACGCAGCGAAAGTCCGCTTACTCTTAAGAAGACTGGGAACACAGGAATATAATAAATATGTGAATTTTATCTTGCCGCAAAATCCACGAGATGTATCATTCAAAGATACAGTCCAGATTTTATCTGATATTTTCGATGAACAGTCCTCATTATTTAATACTCGCTATAAATGCTTCCAAATAACGAAATCTCCAGAGGACGATTATCTCACGTATGCCGGGAAGGTAAATCGACAGTGCGAACGCTTCAAAATAAACGAAATCACAGCGGACCAATTTAAATGCTTGATTTTCATATGTGGTCTAAAGAATGAAGAAGATGCAGATGTCCGTACCAGAATGTTGGCACGCATTGAACAAGAACCAAATATGACATTACAAATGGTTACAACCGAATGTCAGCGGTTACTTAATCTCAAGCATGACACTGCGATGGTGCAACAGAAGGTTAAACCTTCCGGTTCTGATTCAATTAATGCGCTCCGATCCATAAAATCATCGAAACAAAACTGTACAAGCAGGAAACAACCTGCCAACCCCCCATCACCATGCTGGTTCTGCGGAGCATGGCATTTTGCAAAATTCTGTCCGTTTAAGAATCATAAATGCCGCAAATGTCATCGCATTGGCCACAAAGAAGGTCATTGTTCGTTAAATAAACGCAAGACTAAACATCGTAGTGAAAATTCAAAGCAACGATCAGACAGTCAAATTAAAACCACGTTTGCAACCTTTAAAGTTGGATTTAAAAGTAGGCGGAAATTCGTAAATTTATTAGTAAATGAAAAACTTATACGACTTCAGTTGGACACTGCTTCTGATGTCACGTTGATTTCAAAGAACACATGGCACAAGTTAGGATGCCCATCCATCCGACCGACGGAACATGTCGCCCGAAATGCGTCAGGAGACATAGTAAAGTTGACAGGAGAGGTCCTATGCAATGTTCAACTTATGGGAAGCAAATTTACAGATGTTTGTTATCTAACAAATCGACACGATTTAGATCTATTGGGATTAGATTGGATTGCACATGTTGATACTTTGAATAAATTATTAGATGAGGTATGTTCTCAAAATGTTTCCTATGATTCTATCCAAATCCCTAATGATATTTCTAAATCAAATGCCTCCGACGAATCATCCTCTCTGGATATTAACGAATTAAATGCTTCTGATGAAACATGTTCTTATGATCTTTCTGAATCAAACAATTCAAATGTTATGTGTTCTCACCATGTCAAATCAAATACCGCCGATTCATTGCCTTCTCATAAAATTTCCAAATCGAATACTTCAGACAAAGTATGCGCTAGTGAAACTTCGGAGTCTCATGTACTTCTTTCAAAGTGTCCACGAAAAGCTGAACTACAATCTTGGCCATCTCCAGAAGAACCTTGGTCGCGTATACATGTTGATTTTGCTGGCCCATTCCAGGGTACGTACTTCCTCGTTTGTGTTGATGCTTATTCAAAATGGCCGGAGATTTTTCCTATAAATCAAATCACTTCGCAACAGACTATCATGAAGCTACGGCAGTTATTCTCCCGTTTTGGAGTTCCAGATGTTCTCGTGACAGATAACGGCACTCAGTTTATTTCTTCCATCTTCTCAGATTTCTGCAAGAGGTTTGGAGTCAAACATGTCCGTTCACCTCCGTACCATCCACAATCGAATGGTCAGGCCGAAAGGTTTGTAGATACCTTCAAAAGAGCGCTACTGAAGGCAAAAGGGGAGGGAAAGATAGAGGAGATTCTTGATGACTTTCTCTTGGTCTACAGAACAACTCCAAACCCATCAACACCAAATCAAATGTCCCCAGCAGAAATTATGTTTGGTAGAAAAGTAAGAACTGCCCTCGATGCCATGAAACCACAGCAAAGAGACATCGGAAAAAGAAACAGAAAGATGGAAAACCAATTTGATCGCCATCATGGGGCGAAACGCAGAATTTTCCAGAAAAATCAAAAAGTATACGTCCGCGATTTCCGATATTCACCTCCACAATGGACCAGTGGACGCATACTTAAGAGACAAGGGAACGTAATGTATGTGGTGGAAGTTGAAGGACAGAAGTGGACACGCCATGTCAACCACATACTGGAAAATGCTGGCACTTCACAGAAAACCGAGAAATTAGACTCAATGTGGAGAATCATTCTGGACAGTTTTGACATAAAATGCTCAGCGACTCAGAAGACCACGCAACCTGAACAAAGTCCTATTAGGAAAGCATCACGGAAACGCAGAAGACCAGATATTCTACAGGTAGACCCAAAGAGGAGAACATACGTTTCCGAAGGAAGATATCAATGATGATATCTCAGCACTTACCTGTATATAGTAACTAACCATATTTTTTTTCTTTTTTTTTAAAGGGGGAAGGTGTTATGAACGGGGAATTAAGAAGCCCAGACAATTACGAAAGCTATTTTCTTGGGACGTTATTGCATTTCATTCAAAACCTGTAAAACACTTATATTTATTTTTGTCCCTATCTTATTCTACATAACACGAGCTTTCGTTCTATGTATCATTCACTAGCATACCCTTTTTTGTTCCAAAAATATTGTAATTTAAACATTATATTTTGCACTATATTTTCTACCCTAATTCCCTGTTTCGGGCATAACTGTATTTTTCCAAATTATCCTACGTCGTGGTCAAGATATGCACTTATTTATTCATGTACATTTTTGTAGTAATCCGAATTCAGAGAATCCAGAGTTTAGTGTTCCAACTGTCTTGTCTTCTTTCACTTGTGTGCTTGCCAACCAATCAGGATTTAGAATAGTTCTCTCTACCCCATCTCGAACTCACGCATATTAGACTCAAGGTTAAGCCACTCAGCCTAACGCGTCAAGGTCATAATTTAGACTACACCGACCAAGGTCAAGTCATAACAAGTATCACGGGGTAAAAGCGATTCAAGGTCATAACAACTGGCGACGGAGAATTTTTTTTTCTTTCCTATATTGATTGATCCAGTACAAAATGCCTGTTTCATTGGATGACCTTAAAACTATTCTTCAAATGCAGCAAGCACAAAATGAGGCAAATCAGACGAAGCTTTTGGATGCATTCGCACGAATGTTCTCATTACAGTCGTCCTCAGCTTGTCAATCAGATAAGCATGAAAGCATCATAAATTCTATTTCTGAATTCCAGTATGATCCTGAAGCTAATATCATTTTCAGTTCGTGGTTTCACCGTTGTGAAGATATTTTCCGCGTTGAATGCTCGCATCTTGATGACGCAGCGAAAGTCCGCTTACTCTTAAGAAGACTGGGAACACAGGAATATAATAAATATGTGAATTTTATCTTGCCGCAAAATCCACGAGATGTATCATTCAAAGATACAGTCCAGATTTTATCTGATATTTTCGATGAACAGTCCTCATTATTTAATACTCGCTATAAATGCTTCCAAATAACGAAATCTCCAGAGGACGATTATCTCACGTATGCCGGGAAGGTAAATCGACAGTGCGAACGCTTCAAAATAAACGAAATCACAGCGGACCAATTTAAATGCTTGATTTTCATATGTGGTCTAAAGAATGAAGAAGATGCAGATGTCCGTACCAGAATGTTGGCACGCATTGAACAAGAACCAAATATGACATTACAAATGGTTACAACCGAATGTCAGCGGTTACTTAATCTCAAGCATGACACTGCGATGGTGCAACAGAAGGTTAAACCTTCCGGTTCTGATTCAATTAATGCGCTCCGATCCATAAAATCATCGAAACAAAACTGTACAAGCAGGAAACAACCTGCCAACCCCCCATCACCATGCTGGTTCTGCGGAGCATGGCATTTTGCAAAATTCTGTCCGTTTAAGAATCATAAATGCCGCAAATGTCATCGCATTGGCCACAAAGAAGGTCATTGTTCGTTAAATAAACGCAAGACTAAACATCGTAGTGAAAATTCAAAGCAACGATCAGACAGTCAAATTAAAACCACGTTTGCAACCTTTAAAGTTGGATTTAAAAGTAGGCGGAAATTCGTAAATTTATTAGTAAATGAAAAACTTATACGACTTCAGTTGGACACTGCTTCTGATGTCACGTTGATTTCAAAGAACACATGGCACAAGTTAGGATGCCCATCCATCCGACCGACGGAACATGTCGCCCGAAATGCGTCAGGAGACATAGTAAAGTTGACAGGAGAGGTCCTATGCAATGTTCAACTTATGGGAAGCAAATTTACAGATGTTTGTTATCTAACAAATCGACACGATTTAGATCTATTGGGATTAGATTGGATTGCACATGTTGATACTTTGAATAAATTATTAGATGAGGTATGTTCTCAAAATGTTTCCTATGATTCTATCCAAATCCCTAATGATATTTCTAAATCAAATGCCTCCGACGAATCATCCTCTCTGGATATTAACGAATTAAATGCTTCTGATGAAACATGTTCTTATGATCTTTCTGAATCAAACAATTCAAATGTTATGTGTTCTCACCATGTCAAATCAAATACCGCCGATTCATTGCCTTCTCATAAAATTTCCAAATCGAATACTTCAGACAAAGTATGCGCTAGTGAAACTTCGGAGTCTCATGTACTTCTTTCTAAGTGTCCACGAAAAGCTGAACTACAATCTTGGCCATCTCCAGAAGAACCTTGGTCGCGTATACATGTTGATTTTGCTGGCCCATTCCAGGGTACGTACTTCCTCGTTTGTGTTGATGCTTATTCAAAATGGCCGGAGATTTTTCCTATAAATCAAATCACTTCGCAACAGACTATCATGAAGCTACGGCAGTTATTCTCCCGTTTTGGAGTTCCAGATGTTCTCGTGACAGATAACGGCACTCAGTTTATTTCTTCCATCTTCTCAGATTTCTGCAAGAGGTTTGGAGTCAAACATGTCCGTTCACCTCCGTACCATCCACAATCGAATGGTCAGGCCGAAAGGTTTGTAGATACCTTCAAAAGAGCGCTACTGAAGGCAAAAGGGGAGGGAAAGATAGAGGAGATTCTTGATGACTTTCTCTTGGTCTACAGAACAACTCCAAACCCATCAACACCAAATCAAATGTCCCCAGCAGAAATTATGTTTGGTAGAAAAGTAAGAACTGCCCTCGATGCCATGAAACCACAGCAAAGAGACATCGGAAAAAGAAACAGAAAGATGGAAAACCAATTTGATCGCCATCATGGGGCGAAACGCAGAATTTTCCAGAAAAATCAAAAAGTATACGTCCGCGATTTCCGATATTCACCTCCACAATGGACCAGTGGACGCATACTTAAGAGACAAGGGAACGTAATGTATGTGGTGGAAGTTGAAGGACAGAAGTGGACACGCCATGTCAACCACATACTGGAAAATGCTGGCACTTCACAGAAAACCGAGAAATTAGACTCAATGTGGAGAATCATTCTGGACAGTTTTGACATAAAATGCTCAGCGACTCAGAAGACCACGCAACCTGAACAAAGTCCTATTAGGAAAGCATCACGGAAACGCAGAAGACCAGATATTCTACAGGTAGACCCAAAGAGGAGAACATACGTTTCCGAAGGAAGATATCAATGATGATATCTCAGCACTTACCTGTATATAGTAACTAACCATATTTTTTTTTCTTTTTTTTTAAAGGGGGAAGGTGTTATGAACGGGGAATTAAGAAGCCCAGACAATTACGAAAGCTATTTTCTTGGGACGTTATTGCATTTCATTCAAAACCTGTAAAACACTTATATTTATTTTTGTCCCTATCTTATTCTACATAACACGAGCTTTCGTTCTATGTATCATTCACTAGCATACCCTTTTTTGTTCCAAAAATATTGTAATTTAAACATTATATTTTGCACTATATTTTCTACCCTAATTCCCTGTTTCGGGCATAACTGTATTTTTCCAAATTATCCTACGTCGTGGTCAAGATATGCACTTATTTATTCATGTACATTTTTGTAGTAATCCGAATTCAGAGAATCCAGAGTTTAGTGTTCCAACTGTCTTGTCTTCTTTCACGTGTGTGCTTGCCAACCAATCAGGATTTAGAATAGTTCTCTCTACCCCATCTCGAACTCACGCATATTAGACTCAAGGTTAAGCCACTCAGCCTAACGCGTCAAGGTCATAATTTAGACTACACCGACCAAGGTCAAGTCATAACAAGTATCACGGGGTAAAAGCGATTCAAGGTCATAACAACTGGCGACGGAGAATTTTTTTTTCTTTCCTATATTGATTGATCCAGTACAAAATGCCTGTTTCATTGGATGACCTTAAAACTATTCTTCAAATGCAGCAAGCACAAAATGAGGCAAATCAGACGAAGCTTTTGGATGCATTCGCACGAATGTTCTCATTACAGTCGTCCTCAGCTTGTCAATCAGATAAGCATGAAAGCATCATAAATTCTATTTCTGAATTCCAGTATGATCCTGAAGCTAATATCATTTTCAGTTCGTGGTTTCACCGTTGTGAAGATATTTTCCGCGTTGAATGCTCGCATCTTGATGACGCAGCGAAAGTCCGCTTACTCTTAAGAAGACTGGGAACACAGGAATATAATAAATATGTGAATTTTATCTTGCCGCAAAATCCACGAGATGTATCATTCAAAGATACAGTCCAGATTTTATCTGATATTTTCGATGAACAGTCCTCATTATTTAATACTCGCTATAAATGCTTCCAAATAACGAAATCTCCAGAGGACGATTATCTCACGTATGCCGGGAAGGTAAATCGACAGTGCGAACGCTTCAAAATAAACGAAATCACAGCGGACCAATTTAAATGCTTGATTTTCATATGTGGTCTAAAGAATGAAGAAGATGCAGATGTCCGTACCAGAATGTTGGCACGCATTGAACAAGAACCAAATATGACATTACAAATGGTTACAACCGAATGTCAGCGGTTACTTAATCTCAAGCATGACACTGCGATGGTGCAACAGAAGGTTAAACCTTCCGGTTCTGATTCAATTAATGCGCTCCGATCCATAAAATCATCGAAACAAAACTGTACAAGCAGGAAACAACCTGCCAACCCCCCATCACCATGCTGGTTCTGCGGAGCATGGCATTTTGCAAAATTCTGTCCGTTTAAGAATCATAAATGCCGCAAATGTCATCGCATTGGCCACAAAGAAGGTCATTGTTCGTTAAATAAACGCAAGACTAAACATCGTAGTGAAAATTCAAAGCAACGATCAGACAGTCAAATTAAAACCACGTTTGCAACCTTTAAAGTTGGATTTAAAAGTAGGCGGAAATTCGTAAATTTATTAGTAAATGGAAAACTTATACGACTTCAGTTGGACACTGCTTCTGATGTCACGTTGATTTCAAAGAACACATGGCACAAGTTAGGATGCCCATCCATCCGACCGACGGAACATGTCGCCCGAAATGCGTCAGGAGACATAGTAAAGTTGACAGGAGAGGTCCTATGCAATGTTCAACTTATGGGAAGCAAATTTACAGATGTTTGTTATCTAACAAATCGACACGATTTAGATCTATTGGGATTAGATTGGATTGCACATGTTGATACTTTGAATAAATTATTAGATGAGGTATGTTCTCAAAATGTTTCCTATGATTCTATCCAAATCCCTAATGATATTTCTAAATCAAATGCCTCCGACGAATCATCCTCTCTGGATATTAACGAATTAAATGCTTCTGATGAAACATGTTCTTATGATCTTTCTGAATCAAACAATTCAAATGTTATGTGTTCT